AGTTCTCTCGGCTGGGCCCCGGCTCGGCGCCGCTGCGGCTCTGCGTGCGCTGGGACTGCTCGCCGGGCGCCACGCGGGTCAGCGTGGAGTACGGCTACAACCCCGCTGCCCTGGCCGTGCCCGTGCCCCTCGCCAACGTCCACGTCCTGCTGCCCGTCGACGAGCCCGTCGCCAACCTGCGGCTGCAGCCCGCCGCCAGCTGGTAAGGGGTTTGGGGTTGGGGGGGACACACATACACACACACACGCAGGAGCCAGGGGTCCCAATTCCTCCCCACTGGGCTGGGAAATGGGGAGGGTGATGGGGTGAGGAAGGGAGGTGGGAGTAGGGGGAGATGGAGAGGATGCTGATGAGGAGAAGGGGGTGATGAGGAGGGTGCTCATGGAGTGAGGAAGGCAGGGAGGTGGGAGTAGGGGAGGTGAAGAGGATGCTGATGGGGTGAGGAAGGCAGGGAGGTGGAGAGCAGAGGGTGATGAGGAAGGCAGGAAGGTGGGAGTGGGGGGAGATGGAGAGGATGCTGATGGGGTGAGGAAGGCAGGGAAGTGGAGAGAAGAGGGTGATGAGGAGGATGCTGATGGGGTGAGGAAGGTGGGAGGTGGGAGCAGGGGGAGATGGAGAGGATGCTCATGGAGTGAGGAAGACAGGGAGATAGAAGCAGGGGGTGATGGAGAGGATGCTGATGGGGTGAGGAAGGCAGGGAGGTGGGAGCAGGGGGAGATGGAGTGAGGAAGGCAGGAAGGTGGGAGTACGGGGTGATGAGGAGGAAGGATGCTGATGGGGTGAGGAAGGCAGGGAGGTGGGAGCAGGGGGCTGATGGGGTGAGGAAGGCAGGGAAGTGGGAGAAGGGGGTGATGAGGAGGATGCTGATGGGGTGAGGAAGACAGGGAGGTGGGAGCAGGAGGAGATGGAGAGGATGCTGATGGGGTGAGGAAGGCAGGGACGTTGGAGCAGGGGGTGATGAGGAGGATGCTGGTGGGGTGAGGAAGGCGGGAGGTGGGAGCAGGGGGTGATGAGGAGGAAGGCAGGGAGGTGGGAGCAGGGGGTGATGGAGAGGATGCTGATGGGGTGAGGAAGGTAGGGGGGTGGGAGCAGGGGGAGATGAAGAGGATGCTGGTAGGTGAGGAAGGCAGGGAGGTGGGAGCAGGGGGTGATGAGGAGGATGCTCATGGGGTGAGGAAGGCGGGGGGGTGGGAGCAGGGGGTGATGAGGAGGATGCTCGTGGAGTGAGGAAGGCAGGTGGGAGCAGGGGGATGATGGAGTGAGGAAGGCAGTAAGGTGGGAGTAGGGGGTGATGAGGAGGAAGGATGCTGATGGGGTGAGGAAGGCAGGGACATTGGAGCAGGGGGAGATGAGGAGGAAGGATGCTGATGGGGTGAGGAAGGTGGGAGGTGGGAGAAGGGGGTGATGAGGAGGATGCTGATGTGGTGAGGAAGGCAGGGAGGTGGGAGCAGGGGGTGATGAGGAGGATGCTCATGGAGTGAGGAAGGCAGGGAGGTGGGAGCAGGGGGTGATGGAGAGATGGAGAGGATGCTGATAGGGTGAAGGAGGTGAGAGCAAGGGGTGATGAGGAGGATGCTGATGGGGTGAGGTGGAGTGAGGAAGGCAGGTGGGAGCAGGGGGATGATGGAGTGAGGAAGGCAGTAAGGTGGGAGTAGGGGGTGATGAGGAGGAAGGATGCTGATGGGGTGAGGAAGGCAGGGAGGTGGGAGCAGGGGGTGATGGAGAGATGGAGAGGATGCTGATAGGGTGAAGGAGGTGAGAGCAAGGGGTGATGAGGAGGATGCTGATGGGGTGAGGAAGGCAGGGAGGTGGGAGCAGGGGGTGATGGAGAGATGGAGAGGATGCTGATAGGGTGAAGGAGGTGAGAGCAAGGGGTGATGAGGAGGATGCTGATGGGGTGAGGAAGGCAGGGAGGTGGGAGCAGGGGGTGATGGAGAGATGGAGAGGATGCTGATAGGGTGAAGGAGGTGAGAGCAAGGGGTGATGAGGAGGATGCTGATGGGGTGAGGAAGGCAGGGAGATTGGAGCAGGGGCCGGGGGGGGGATTTTTGGTGTGTGGGGGCTTAGGGACGTACCCGTGTCCCCCCAGGAATCTGGAGGAGAAGAGGCTGCTCTGGAGGCTGCTGGACATCCCCGGTGCCCCGGGGCAGGGAGGTGAGGCTGCACCCCCCCAGCTCGGGGAGCAGGGTCCGGCTCTGGCCCCTGCGGACCCCAAACCCTCTCTCTGTGTCCCCCCCCTCCCTCCCTCCCTCCTCAGGCTGTGGCCGGCTCTCAGCCAGCTGGGAGCCCCTCTGCGGTCCCAGCAAGCCCAGCCCGGTGGCAGCCCAGTTCAGCAGCGAGGGCAGCACGCTGTCGGGCGTCGAGGTGGAGCTGGCGAGCGCCGGGTACCGCATGTCGCTGGTCAAGAAGAGGTTTGCTACAGGTAGGGC